AACATATTCATGCACGTGCAAATGTAGTTTTGCATCTTCCCGCTGCAGCGGGAGCTATACGGGGTGCCTGCGCATCTCCGGCCCCGTCGCTGCCCATGTGCCACCGGACCTGCACCTCAACCCGTACGCACGGTGCTTGATGCTCCGCAGGCAGCAGTACGCCTGCTCCCTCGCTGCCCGCTGGCGTGGTGGCAGGGGCTGCGTGCCCACTGCCCTGCTGCCAGCTCACCGGGACGGGCTTAGCCTCCCCAGATGCCCACGGGACTGCTCCTTCCGATCCTGTGGGATGAGGCCTCCCCAGATGCCCACAGGCTGCCAATCCTGTGGGACCGCCACGCGGTGGGGACCTGTCTCGGGACCAGGCACGAGGGGCAGAGGCCACCTCGGAGCCTGCTCAGCCGTGAACTTGACCCGTCCAGGCTGCTGCCTCCAGTTCAGCCTGTCTCCCCAGCGCTCCGGGGTGCCTTGTGTGACACTGGGTGGCTTTTCCCCGCCACTTGCCCTGGTGCCAGCATGGGGGAGACGAGTGCTGACAGCCCAGAGCTGGTCTCTGGTGGGGCTGGTGACCCCCGTCCCAGCTCGGTGCCAGGGAATGCAGGTCCTTGGGGCTGGGCTGGATGGGCTAGAGCAGGCGGTGGCACAGGGGGGGTTCCAGGCCCGCTGACACCCAGGACTGGGACAGCTGTGACCCCGCCAAGGGCTGAGCTGGGGCATCCCACCACGTGTCCCCTCCGTGGTGGTGCACAAGCTTGGGTGCTTCAGGGCCGATGTCGCTGTGGTGCGAAGGACTGACCCCTCCCAAAAGGTGCCCTGCGCTAAATTACAAACCTCTGCCAAAAATCCCAGAGGTGTTTTTCCTTCCGCAGCGGAGACGGCTGCGTTGCTTTCCTTTTAACTGAGAAAGCAAAACATCCTCTCTCCTAGTTCATCCTCAGGATGAGCTGATCCAGGCAGCCTGAAACGGCTCAGCCTCCATCAGGCAGCCCAGAGAATTTCAGGTTGAAAAATGAATA